AAAATATTACCAGATATCTATAATAGTTGTAATATCAATGGAATAAATTAAAAAAAAGAAAAAAAAGATATTTCAAATTGTTCAAAAAGAGAATTTCGCGAACGAAATCGACCAGATACATAAAAGTAAGCCCATTCAAAAGAATAGCCCCATTTACAAATTGCAGCCATATCTGGACGACCATGAACTATTACGTTTACATGGACGTCTTAATAAAACTACGTGACTACCGCTGGATTTTCGATGCTCGATCTTGATGTCACACGGTCATACCTTCACAGAATTAAATGTACGCCATTTTCATGAACAACTTCATCACCAAAATATAGCTGTGGCTATTAATGAAATTTGTCAACGTTTTTGGGTGTCACAAATCAAAAAGGTCATAAAAAAACGTTCAACCCCAACCTGCCAAATAGAGAGAACTAAACGATAATTACCTGAAGATCGCGTCACACCATTTATACGCCCATTCACATATACTGGTGTGGACCTGTTTAGTCCTGTTAGTGCCGCCATTGGTCGCCGACAAGAAAAAAGATAGGTTGCAATTTTTACCTGCCTTATGACAATTGCCGCCCACTTGGAGATTGTTGAAAACATGTCAACAGACGCCCCCCCAGTTCGCATTTGATGTGATAATGGTACCAACTTTATAAGTGTTTGATTCGATCCATTATCTATATCAAAACTATAATCTAAATACGCAGAACGAAATACAGTTTGTAATATTATTTTTTCGTCCCATATTTTTTATTTAATAACGTAACAAAGACAAAAAAAATCAAACGAATTGCAAAAACAAAAAAAAAATCTATTGATTCTTCTTATATTAAATATTTGAAATGTAAGAACGATAGTTATTGGACAAAGTATTATGATTTTTTTAAAGAAAATAATAAATAAAGTATGAAAACATACTGGTATGAAATATGAAACCTGAAAAATCCTGAAAGAAAAAAAAAAAATTAAAAGCCCAATAAAACAAAAAATATATACGTCTATTAAATAAAGTTACGATTAAATTAATTTGAACTTCTCAAATTTTTTTGGAAATTTTATACATATTTTCAAAACATAATAGTTTATAAATTAAATAGATTAGCACTGGACTTGGAAATCAACTACTTCACATGAGCGCCGAAATTAAAGTATGGTGCATAAAAAATAATAAAGGCATCTTTAAATGCAAATAAATGAAATGTCAATCCTTAAAGGTATTATCGCTGAGCACATACGTTGATATACTTATAAAATTTTTTTTTACTACCCACTGAAAATAATGATATGCCCTGAAAATAGCATCAGTGATGGAAGTACCATTATAATTAAATATAAAATAGTTTAATACCTGTAATATCAATAAATATTAAATAAATTCGTCCCAACTGCTTTGTATATAGGTCGCTTTCTATTGTAATACCTTCAGTGTTATGTATACACGTTTTTGTTCTAGGTCAAAAATAACAGTAAACTGAAACTTGTCTTCAGGGCTTAGTATATGAAATACTCTATTTCGCATACGTACAAGTTTCCATATTTGATTGTTTTTTTGTTTCCAAAAATATTATTCATACGTAGTATAGAATATAGGAAGATTGTAACTTAAATTTCACCCACTGAACTATACTATGGATAGTCTTCAAAAGTACAGCAGATTCAATTTTGAGACCAGAATCAGTTATTGGAACTACTAAAGGTTAAACTAAATTAATTAGTAGCGATCGATGAAAACATTTTGAGAATAGATCATCTTGAAACATACTCTCGGTTACATAAGGTCTATATCTGAGATATGCTCGCCGTTGCCTGTACACAATTAATTTATAGTTACAGTAAACCTTACAGAAAATGGCTGTTTGATTATATTTTTCTATTCTTTTGGGAGAACTGTGTAAATACAAAAAAAATTAATAATAAATATTATAAAATTAATTTAATTAAATTTTTAATTTGTTAAAAGATCTTAAAAGATCGTAATACACATGCAAAGCAGTAATACGATCTTTTAAGCACATCAGGCGGTTGTATGCGTTTAACTGTAAGTCTAACAAGGTAAATACTTTAAATATTTAATTAAAGCAGTATTAAGTTTAATAAATATAAATATTACAGGTAAGGCTTCATCACATTTCACCTTATTTAAATATGTAATTGAGGCTATGTTACGTCTCCCACCTTCAGACTTATTAGCAGGAATGACGTTTTAGTCATATTGCTTGCATCTTTGTCATACGCACAAACAAAACTAACGAAACTATCAAGCGATATACTAAAATAACAATTATCAAGTTAAAAACAAATCCAGAAGAATTTAATATCAATACTACACCCAAACTATATTACCAAATCTTAATAATTATTATTTGTATACGATAAATATTCAAATATTTTGATTTTAAATTAAAATAAAAAACAACTCTTCGTAAAGCGATACTGCTGCATTTGATAAATATACCTATAGCATTAAAATAACCAGAAACCATTTGTATAATCGTCTATAAATGATAATAAAATATTATTTTTATATTTAACATTATTTTTAATTTAACAAATTATTTTTAATTTAACTAATTATTGAAAAGAGGCATATAATTAGAAATATAATTAATTAAACGGAGTTGTAAACACAACTGAGTCTATTATAGAAGCAAAAAAACGTATACTTGCAGTTTTTCTAGATATAAAACAAGTCCTTTATAAAGCGTGGTATACACGACTGTCACAGTGGTTTGTATCTGAAAAACTTCTTACTGGTTCATGTATGGAACTATGATATCCCGACTTTTCTTAATAGAATATAATTGAGGTTATAGAATATAATTATTGCTGATATAAATAGTGCTATTATACAGCAGATTGAAAAATTTACACACATTTTTTACTAAGTGCGTTCATATAACCGTATACATAAACGCATAAAAATATACATTTGATAATTTTATATGCTTAGAGGAGTACCTTTACAAACTATAACAATTTAAATAAGGGTATGTACATATAGGTATATATGTTATTAAATAGTATAAAATTTCCTTTTCATGTGATTAACAATATTTCAAATGCAATGAATATGTTTTATTATAAAATCTGTTCAAAATTATTGGTTTGGTAATATAAAAGAATTAACACTTAATAAGTATAAATGCAGTTTTGTAAATATTATTACTTTATAATAAATTTTTCTGGTTACTATCGCAAAAAAAAGAAAGTAAAACTGATTTTATGGCTTATATTTATGTTGTATAATTTAATGAATGCTTTCAGTTAATTGGGATACTTTACTATGCACTAGGGACCTATAATATTAAAGAGGTGCCTGTATATTAGATTCTTAAATTTAAAAATTGTATTTATAAATAACATTAAACAGTAACTAATTGGTTACGTATCAAGATCGTACCAGCTAAACAATAAAAGTATTACTGTGTGTTTTGTTTATTAAGAAACGCGAATAAATCATGTAGAAGTTAGGATTTTGAATTGAAGTTAAACTAGTAACCCTCAGCAATTAAAGTCGAAGTTATTGACAATATCTAGCGATTAGTATGCTAAATATGTGAAAGAAAATAATCTATAATAAATAAAACTTAATTTGAACTGTGAAACATGGTGGTTTGTAGATGTATGGTAAGTAATGGTGCCGGTAAACCTAATTTTATACAAAATACAAGGACAAATTTGGGTATCTAAATATTCTAAAAACAAATTTAAAAGAAAGTGCCAGAATGTTAGGGCTTGATACAATTTTTTGTTTCAGCAGACATTGTCCGGGATTGGCTGCTGTATTATGCTCCCAGGCAACTTTGAACAGCACCACAATCACCAGACATTAATCCCTTAGAATTATAGTGAGATTATTTGGAAAAGAAGATTCGCCACCCCACGATTTCTAACAAGGATATGTTACGTAACGTCATCAAGGAAGAATGGCAAAATATGGACACACAGGATACTGCAAATCTAGTTGACTCCATGCAAAGACAATGAAAAAAGGTTATTAAACGCAGAGGTTATCCCATAGGCTAGTAAATTTAAGATTTCTGTGAATTTTAATTGTTTTAATTTAAGTATTAAGAAGTGCACGCAGACTTTTTCTGCTTCGAAAATTGTCGCTTTTGCATATAATTTTGTTTAATTTATTTTTTTAGAAGAATAACTGTTAGTTTTTTATGTTTTAATTTCATTGTTGTTTTTTTTGGTTAAAATAAATCAGAAAACAAAAATCAATTTGAGTAAAAATTAAAAAAGTTATGCGAAAAATTTAAGAAAAACTTTGTGGGTAAGTGTAGACTTTTTCTGCTGTGTGTATAACAAAGAAGTGTTTATTGTTATTAAATATATTTTTATTTAAAAATTTTAATTTTTTTTTAAATGCAATAATCTATTATTTTGTATAACTGAAAATTTATATATAAAAATACTATAACAGAAAATGATATTAGTGCAAGTATGTATATTTCTAAATAGAGAAGTAAATGACAATTAAATAATTAACATTGTTCTTACTGATTTTTGCTTCAAGTGGTATATTAGCAGTAGATAACATGTTATTGTTAATAATATCTTTGAAGTATTGAATAGGCTGTACATTGTATTTTCTTTTTTAATATTAAGTTATATTTCATTGTAGAGGACGAAAACAATAATTGGAGAGAAACAATTTTTTTTCATTTTTAATCATTTTCAGATTTCGCAACGATGTGAACCTGTTATAGGTTGACTTCATACAAAATCAACTTTGTATCAAATTTGTATTAAACCAACGTTCTTTTGACATGCTATATATGATCTTTTTATGTATTTTCACTAAAATCGAAGCAGTAAACACTGATAACATGCAGTGAGCGAAAATCTCAATCGGGCTTTCGACGACTTGTCTGATAATGAAATGTGTTGCCCGTACTGCGTACTGCGACATATGCTCGTGCAGTTCTCTGCCTTTTACTGTTGCTGCTTTTTCTTTATACTTTACTGTTTCCAATACCATTGAATCTCTAGCCAACACCAAAATTCTTCAGTAAACAGAAGGCATTCATGGGAAATGGTTGTGGTGGATTTTATAAAACCCGCTAGTACATCTTAAATCGATCGTTTGCTTTAAGTAGAATATTAGCAGTTTGAGATTCCAACATTTACTGCTACTGCATGTGATTAGTGCACGGTATATTTTTAACAAGAATTCGTTGCAGATACACCACAACGTTTGAGGCAATTGGCTTTTTTGAATTTAATTAAATTTTTTAGGAAATTCTGCAAACACATAGTGAAGTGAAAATAACAGTTAAAATAATAATCTTAATATAAAAATTAAATAAATTTAACATATAAAATTTGTGCTATTAAAATACTAAAACTCAAAAGGTGATACATTGCCGCATTAAATCGTTCTTCAGGTAAAATAGCTACTACTACACTCACAACACAAATTTTAAAAATGTTTAAATATTTAAATGTTATTCATGTGTGCAGTTATGTTTAATAGTATTTCATTGACTTGAATATATGCTCCATTAAAGATTATTTACTTTCGTAGATTGTACTATCTCAATGGGTTTTATATGATTTCTAATTCACGCGGTTAAAATAAAAACCAAAACCTTAAGAAAATACATATACCATATGTATATTTCTTATCGAACAACATTTTCAAGCCAGACGAATGCAATTACCAACTTGCAATAGTGTTTTTGACATCGAGTAAGGCCTCGTCCGTCTACAAATCCAATCGGGTCTAAATAAATTTCAATTGCAACATTCTTTCGTTATGTTGCTTGTAGCGTGGTTGAGTTCTCGCCTCTCAATATATGTACATATTTAGTTTAATGCCTTATTTAAATACAAAATACAAAATATAAAATATAAAATAACAAATTTTGCTGCAAGTGTGTAAAGCAGTTATATTTGTCAGAAACAGTTGAGCAGTTGCAGTATAATAAATAAGCTTAAAAGAAAATATATATATTACACATATATGTATTTACTTTTTTTACTTTTTTATTTTTTTTATTGTTTTTATTTTTTTACTTTTTTGTTTGTTGCTGATTTTCTGTCGCTATAATGTTGTCGGGAATCTCAATGTTCGTTCATGTTCATTCCATTCACGAACCAGTCAGTTAAACAAGTATTTTCGTTTTAAAATTTATATTTGCTTATTACATAAACTCGTCAGCGTTTCAACGACTTATAACTTATACAGCAGACGTTTCTTGTTCTGCCATTTGCTGTGCATATTCCTTTAGTTAGCCGTAATCGAGACATATAAAATATAAACAATACCATGACTTTTTATGTGACGAAAATCCACAAAGACCAGTTCAGTGCGATAAAATATTATAACAAAACAGACACAAATTCGTAAATTCGTATACATAACTAACTCATTCAAAGCCTAAGATAATCTGCAAATCTAGTCCAAATATCGTATTTAATCTTACTCATATGATCGAAGAGAATGTCTAATATATTTCAAGTATATTTGTAGATTTTCATAGCTATTTTGCCAATGTCGAAACCATGCAACAGTTGCATAGAACTTGCTTCTGCAGCATATGTCGGCAATTCGTACGTACATGTGCTTGTGGAACAAACACATGCGTTACATGCGTAAGCAGCACTCTTATTTATTTACTACATTTTCAGTAGACACAGAAGTAAATATGTAGTACGTAATACACACCAACATATATATGTATGTATATAGTTTAGTAACAAATCTGGTGTTAGTGCGTTAAATACAAAATACAAAATACAAAATAACCCATTCATAGATAAGAAATATACAAGGCAATGTGTGTTTCTAAATACTCACAAATACAAAAATATCTAATCCAATAAAGTGTAAACATAGAATAAAAAAACAAAAATAATTTTGAAAGTACTCGGTCATATTAATGTGCTTAACCTTTCTCAAATTTGATTCAAAGTGTTTTGTTGTAAAAGAAATAATCAAAAACTGGAACAAATAATAGTTAAAATATTGTCAGTGGAATCGATTTTGATTAAAATATTTACCATATTATATTTATTCTTTAATTATTATAAATTTTTTGAAACTGTATATAATTTTTAATTATTTTTATGTACAACATAAAATAGTTTTTTAAAATAAATATTTGTAATATAATTGACTATTTTCTTTTGAGAATTAATTGCGTCAGCATTGTGATGTGTTGTCATCATTTCATGTGATCGGACGAATAGAAGCAGAGTTAATGTGTCCCCAAAGTTTACAGAATCTTGGTATTATTGGTATAAAGATAAGCTTAGAACAAAGAAGGTTTTATTTTAAACTTAATTAAACCTTAACTAAAGAGTCTCAAATGATGAACTAATTGAACTTAATTGATGGATTGATCAAAGATCAGATTAATATTCCTAAACTGTAAATCTCAAAAACATATCATTTTGATCGAATATTTAGGTATATTAAAACCTTATGATAGCGACTACACAAGGCGCAATATCGTTATGAATATATCAATAACTTATGACCAAATTGTTGGTCAACATATATCCATTATCTCTACAGGTTTGATCAAAACTGTGTATGAATTCATCAAATATTTATTTAATTGTAATCTAAAAATATTATTTTTATCGAACATATAGGCATATGTTGCAGATTTATGTTGGCGAATACACAAAGCTCAATAACGCAACTTTTTGCGTGAGACTATTTATTGGCAATTACATGCATCAAAAGGCAAACCAGTTTTTCTATTCACCTGATTTGATAACGTGCAGATTTAACCTTCTCAAAAAAAACGCATTTACCGATGAAAGAAAAGTGTTTTATGGAGGTAGAAGTCGTCAAAAATAAAATGTATCAACATTCTAAAGGCCATATTAATCGAAAATCATGCTCATTCGAATTATTTTGAAAAAAATGAAAAAAGATTTGTAAAAGTACTGCAAATGCAATATTCATTTTATGTATATATGTATGCATTTTAAACTTCATTCGTCAATAATCATCAATAGGAATTTCAGATTTATAACCTACTTATTAGAGATAACGTTTGGAAACTATATTTAATACGGTTCCTCGATGAGAAACGCATGTGGAAAAACCTCTTATTAGCAATAGTTTAGTAAATCCAAAACCGACTTCTTGATGACTAAGTACCACATATCACGATAGGTGGAGTTTTATCATTCGAAAAATGGAGAACCCTGCAATCAACACATTGTAGATAACAACATAGAAGTACGTGAGTTTAAACTGTACTGAGTCTGGTTTTATTCTCTATTCTTCAATAATTAAAATATGTGGTGCAGTGGCGTAACTACAGGGAAGCGACTGGAAGCAACGCTTTCGGGCCCACGAATTTAGGGGGCCCCATTATAAATTTATGTATTCATTGTATTTATTTTTAATAAATTCTCAAAAGTGGGACGAAACGATTTGCCGTATAGTTGTGCTTCAATCCTCAATTTCTATCGGTGCTATATTTAAATCTGCATCTACTCCATATTGCAAAATATTTCATTAACCATTAACATATACCAAATTTCATTGGAGTATCAAAAAGCTGAGTTCAAAAGCTGAGAGAGTAGTTTGAACTGAAAAGGTATATATATACTTTACTGATATATACTTTATAGTATTTGCGACGTTTCCTTTAATGCGTTACGAAAATCTGGACAAATATAATATACCCTTTTTACACTTTTTCGTGTAAAGGGTATAAAAAGATGTTAGTAGGGGCCCCTTAGTTAGTAGTTGCTTATAGGCCTAAAAAATGTAGTTACGCCACTGATGTGGTGCGATACAATGGAGTCTCGTATACTAATTTGATATTGAATTAATTTGTTTGAACAATTTATAAAATCAATCAATAATTGTAACTATTAATATAGTTCATACTCGTATATTATTTTGGTTTTTGTTACATTTGTATTTATTATTATCTGCAATAAATATGTAAAAATATAAAACCATTTATACATTTTTCCAGAAACAATTGCAATTTTCTTATCGTGCTATAACGCAATATTTTGTCTAATTATATTAATATGGACTAGTTTGGTACACTTCTTCGTTCGGTTCGTTCTTCTTATATATTGGAAGTATTGACGTTATGTTGAAGGTGTAGAATGTGCGCATCTAAATGTAGCTTAACAACGCGGCCTTTCGGTAAACAGTAAATATAAAAAATTATATAAATATTGACTTCATTTTTTAAATAAAATTGAGGCAGTCAATTATTAATATATAAAAAGGAAAACAATGCTCTTGTCAGCATGAAATAATTATTTTAAAATTAACGTGTTACTAAGAAGAGCTTAAGGAGACAAATATTATAATAACTGATTTTGAATTAACTTTAATTTATTTAACGTAATTCGTAACATGTAATCTTTTTTTTTTGAAATTCTTGATTGTACGCAAGAACAAGAAGTTGCATATGATCTATATGCACTGAATACCCTTACTTTGTTACCCAAACTTGACATTTAGTCCCAATGTACTTTTGAAAGTGCTTCTCTATACAAATATACTTGAATGCTCATATTAGCTGATTTTATTTTTGTTTTCTTTACACCAATAATACTTGTGCCATGACGGATATTTTAATGTAAACAAATCAACAACTAATAAAACAAATCGTCTTAAAGCGACTACGGTCCGTTTTTCTAAATACGGAAAGTTGTACTTCATTTACTTCTAAAAAGCATTACTAATATTGCGATTTATGTTTTGTTTTTGTTTTTTGAAAAGACTGGTACCTTATCCAGCATTTTATTTTATTTATTTTAAATTTTATTTTTAACTTAAAAATGTACATAGTATTTGTTCATGTATTAATTACATTTATTATTAGGCGTTTTCTTTTGTAAGCATGTCACAAAAGAACTAAAAAAATAAGCACTACTAAATGGCAACTCTGGACAAAATGGAGGATTTGTTCGGCTTATATGGGCAATAAATGTGTAATAAAATTTAAAGTTGAAATTTCGAAAATTAATAATTCTTTGCAATTATTGATGAGAATATAACATTTAACAAATAACATAATCGATACTTTAGAATCAATCATCGATGCTACTACGACACCAAGTAAATGTGTTTTCATGCATTCCATGTTATAGGAAAACCATCGTTGCTTTATTGATACCTAGCCATACTTTAAAGAATCATTTCGCACATTGATTCCTTAAAACTGACTAAAGCATCAATAAAACAGCGATACCATTATAAATTGCTGGGATATAAAGTTAAAAGAATAAACAAAGTTTTCAGTATACCGTTTGATTACTTCTCATGCGATTTTATCTTGATAGCACTAAACTGCTTTCACTGGTATTTACACAACTTCTGAGCTTTAATCACAATGTCGTTTATTCGTGAATAAGATATATACATGAAAAGAATACCAAACCAAAGAGGCGT